ATTAATGAGTATAGCTCAGTTTTTGCAAAAAACAAGTATGATGTAGGCAAAGTGAAAGACTACGAAGCCCGAATCGATTTAATTGTCGATAAGTATTGCAATAAACGAGCACACAGATGTTCATTGGAAGACAAGAAAGAAATAGAAAAACAAATAGCGGAATTACTAAAACACCAGCTGATCGAAGAATCTTACAGCCCGTTTGCAGCACCAGTAATACTGGCTTATAAAAAAGACGAAAATAAAAAATCAAGACTCTGTATAGACTTTAGAGATTAGATATTATTGGATATTAACTCATTGATATTAACTCAGCCTTGGATATTAACTCAGCATTTTGGGCCATACCGCTACGTATAGAAGACAGACATAAAACTTCCTTTATAACCCAGGAAGGTCATTTTCAATGGACATGCCTACCATTTGGCCTAAAAACATCACCGGCAATTTTTCAACGGATACTGAGCAGTATAATAAGGAGAAATAACCTGTCTAAATTCACGGTAAATTATATTGATGACATTTTGATTTTTTCAAAGACATTTCAAGAACATATAGATCATCCACAACAATTATTAAAAACAATAATGAAAGAAGGATTTAGACTAAAATTCACAAAATGCACTTTTGCAGCAAATTCTGTAAAATACCTGGGTCATATTATCTATAACAACTCAATTACACCATTAAAAGATAATCTGATCGCAATAAGAAACTTTCCTGTCCCAAGAACACAAAAAAATGTCCGGCAACTTATAGGGAAAATAAATTTTTATTACAAATACATACCAAACAGTGCAATAACTCTAGATCTGTTACACAATTTACTAAGGAAAGGACAAGGACAAAATGTGAAATGGACAGAAGAATGCCAGGATGCATTTGAAAAAATTAAGAGCTTATTATGCTCCTAACCAGTTCTAGCGATTTTCAATCCAGATCTGCCAATCCGCATATATACAGACGCAAGTTTAAAAGGACTAGGTGCGGTATTAAAACAACCCCAATATAACGGCGAGGAAAAACCGGTGGCTTATTTCTCTAGAAAATTAAATGAAACACAAAAAAAGAGAAAAGCGATTTATTTGGAATGTTCAGCTATAAAAGAAGCTGTGCAATACTGGCAATACTGGCTGATAAACAAATACTTCACCGTCTACTCAGATCATAAACCTTTGGAAAAAATGAATGTAAAAGCGAGGACAGATGAAGAATTGGGAGACTTGACGCATTATTTATCACAATCCGAATTCAATATTGTTTACTCCCCAGGAAAACTAAATCTAGAAGCTGACTGTTTAAGTAGAAATCCAGTACTAGGACCAAATACGAATGGGGATGAACAGTTA